CCCCCACCCACCGCGCAGGGGTGGGGGCCGGGGGGGAGGACAGTAGGGCCTCCCCCCCATTGTAATTAATGGCCCCCACCCGTTGCACAGGGGTGGGAGCCAATAGTTTTTGTTTTGTTTTGTTTTGTTTTTTTTACAGTGAGCAGCCACTGGCTGCTCACTGCTTACTAGACATGCCCCTACTCGCTGCATAGCGAGTAGGGGCAGATCATTTACTAATACTAAGTAATCTTTACTTAGTATTAGTAAATGTGGCTGAAAGACCAATTTAGGTCTTTCAGCCTTTTAGTAGATAACTCCCTAATACCGTGGGAATTAGGGAGTTATCTACTAAGCTGCTGCAAGATGCAGCCGCGGATCGGAGTTTGCATGCCACAGTCCAGGTGTTAGTCCCCTTGAAACATCTTGTGTGTTTTAAAATTCGCCTGTCTATTGAAGTCTATGGCGGTTCGCCCGGTTCGCGGGTTCGCGAACATTTGCCGAAATTCGCGTTCGCCGTTCGCGAACCGAAAATCTTATGTTCGCGACATCACTATTCTTATGTTGTCATTGAGTAAGCTTATAAAAATACACAGCACAGCTAACACTTGCACAGAGGACTCATAGTGATTGGGGTGAAAGCTGGTAAAGTTTAACCAAATAAGGAGTTCTGGAGAAGTGACAGAGGAATTTGAAAGTGCAAATAACGTGATTTGTTTTCTAGTATAACTGTTTAGGATTAACATGTCAAATATCCTAGTAAAATAAACACATTTTTAATCTACAATATACACTTTAGGTGTCAAAAGATGCCTTCTATTGGATGTTCTTAATGCTAATATCACCTTGATGCTTTGTTGCTGGACGAGAAGGGTTATTCCTTAAATGAGAACTGTGATTGATTCCAAGTGAATTCAAAGTTCATATTTAAAGCCAAAATAGGCAAACAGGAAAATTCTCCAAAAATCAATCTAGCTATGTACTGAAAAATACATTTGAAATTTCAAGACAACCAAATACTTGGATTCTGTGTTAAAAAAAAAAAGTAAAAAAAAACAATTTAAATAATGCTATATATATATATATATATATATATATATATATAGTAACATCCACTGGCGTACATATAGGGGTCGCAGCTGCGACCGGGCCTGTCACTCAGTGCTCGGCGCTTTAACAACCAACCGAAACATCTGCACAGAATATGGACTGGACCTGCCTAAGTCCAGTTGGGAGATACCTCAAAAGGTAGTTGAGAATGACAGGGCTAAGATCCTGTGGGACTTCAAGATCCAGAAAGACAAGCAAGTGCTGGCCAACCAACCAAACATTGTGGTGGTAGACAAGGATTGAAAGACTGCAGTCGTGGTGGATGTGGCAATACCCAGTGACTATAACATCAGGAAGAAGGAACATGAGAAGGTGAACAAATACCAAGGACTGAAAGAAGAACTATAAAGGATGTGGAAAGTGAAGGCAGTAGTAATCCCAGTTGTGATAGGAGCACTCAAGGCTGTGACTCCCAAGTTAGGGGAGTGGCTTCAACAGATTCCAGGTGGGACATCTGAGATCGCTGTCCAGAAGAGTACCATTCTAGGAACAGCTATGATCCCTCAAACTCCCGGGCCTCTGGTAGAGGACCCGAGAATGACGAATAAACATACCACCCAGGAGGGGTGAGAAAATCAATTTTATTTATTTATATCTATATATATGTTTATTTTTAATCTTTCGGGATTCTTTATTTTTAGCAATTGCACCAGAGGATTGGAGGAAGGCAGATATAGTTAATATATTTAAAACGGGTTAAAAAAGGGCATTTATATATATATATATATATATATATATTTATCTGCACTATAGCAAAGTATTAGTAACACTGTCTAAAATAGTTGATTTATTAATGCTGTCCAATATCCTAATAGAATATTTAATATTTCAAACAAAAACTGGGCTCTGTGACAGCTAGCTGTCTTCAAGACAAATTCTGCATCTGTAACAGTAAATAAAGTGCTGCATATATAAACATACCTGAAATCATTAAATAGAGAACTTCAAAGCTCTAAGACGTTCTGTAAAATCTTGATAAATGGGATAGGATAGGATTCAGATAGTGCTGGTTTTGATTACACATTGAAATTTGTAGAAATTAGCTAAAGTGTGTTCCATGCAGCAGATTGTTCAATAATTAGTATTATGCAGAACAAATCATACTATGCCGCTAAATATAGTTTTGAATAGACAGATATTAATTGTAAAGTCATAGTAAAGATAATCCATCTTTTATTTTAAATTACTGAAAGTGCTGGACTAAGGTAGAAAAAAACAGATGTACTTTTAAAATTCACTCTAAACATTTTAGACTATAAAATAATTTAAAATAATACTTAAATCTATCAAGTTTGGGGGTGGAGCTGGACAACTGACTTAAATGGCTGCATGCTGCCCGAGCAATGCACCAAATGATCATCCAAGGCCCACAATCCCAGCCCAAACCCCACAAAAACGGGGGCCAAGCAGATCCACAGACTGACATCAGCAAGACTGTTCGAAAAAAAAAAAAACCCAAGCCTGACAAATCATGGCAAAGCATGAACATCGGCGAACCTAAGGAGATAAACGCACAGGGCTATGGGCCCAAATAGGCCGCCTATGCCTACGACTGTTCCGATATCTCAGAAGACTTTACCACTGGAGTGGAGACTGAGCACTCACCAATCTTGAAGGCTCCACTCCGGGCTCTCTCACAGCCAGACTCAACTTCCGTGACCACAGCAGTAATGAAATAACTGCTGGCAGGATTGCAGCTCACTATACAGACGGACATAGCCCACATCCGCACAGACCTACAGGATCTGACAGGCCCCCTGGGTACCTCAGAGGAAGAATCCCACCGAAATGCACAAAGTACAACACTACTACATCAAGCAGTGCAAGATCTGCAGCAGTAGAATCTCAAATATGACAAGCGCTTTGTTGCACTGGAAGACCAGAGGTGCAGCCTGAACATCAATATTAGGGGTGTCAGAGAGGAGATCCCGGAGGCAGAGGTGCCGTATTTTGTCAGATGGCTCATGGTGGCCATATTGTCCCCCAGACAAGCCAATCAAATGACCGTGGAGGAAATGTTCCACCTACCAAGGACTGGTAAAGCCAGGTTCCAAAGCAACAAATACAAGACAGCGGTGATGCAAGCAACACGAACCCACTCACCTTATCTATTCGAGAACATGCAACTCACGTTATATGCAGACCTATCTATCTGGGTCCACGCTGGCCTGGTGATGCTCACTCCACCCCTTCACAGCCCTCCTGCGCTCACATACCATCACGTACAAGTGGAGGGGGCCTTGCGCGCTACTGGTCCACCACAGTGACTCCTCAACCACCATACAAGACATACAAGGTGCAAAAGACCTTCTACCCAACTTGGGGCTCCAGTGGGACTCTCTTTACCTTGCTGGACTGACTCCTACCTCTGTGCCACACAGTGACTGGAACCCCACAAGACTGATCCCATTCGTCCCCCGACAGTCTGGGACGGAGACATACGCAAAGGCCACCACCTGATGAAAACAAAGACATAAACTTACCTCTCTTCAAGCCCCCTGTTGTGGACAGAAATACCTCTTACATATTGTTTATTACATTGTTCATTTCATTGTTTATTTCACTGATTATTTTCTATGTGCTATATCTCACACCCTGCATCTCGCCAAATTAGAGCCATTTATCTGGCCCCCTCACAATACATAAGTTGTATGTTTTATGAAAAAACTTGATTGAAAAATACACATCAATTCATTGATGTCACAGCATAGTTATGCATAAAATGGTATTCACTAAAAGATTTTTCTGAAATTTTAATAACCAAACAGTTCTGAGTAATGGGCGAGATCTACAGGGGAAACCATAGAAACTGCAAGGACCATTGTGTTATTCACTTAAAAGCTTTGATTTGCTACAGGCTGTAGAAAAAGCTTTTTTACAGATGGGAATCATACATCTGACACCAGGTGCAATGCCTTACTAGTGAGAACCAACAACAATACCAGGGAGAGGCCTACCAAGTGGCCTCTCCTCTTTCTCCACCCACGGAGCTGTGGAGTGTATAGTAATGGTATATATGAAGGCCAGGAGACTGTCGGTCCCTAGGCCCCAAGGGGATAGCTCCTTTAAAGGGAGATTGAGCTTTTAAGATTGCAAAAACGTTTACAAAAGACTCCCCTGCGTGCATGTTCAATGAAAGGCACTACGATTGTTTGACTTTAAGAATTAAAGAGACACTCCATACACAATAATCACTACAGCTTGTCCTACTTGTAAGATGACAAGAACATTAAGGATAAGGATTCAGTATGTATGGCATCAAAATGTTCTCTTCACACAAAGTCCTCTCTTTCTGATTGAGACATGATAATAAGAAGCCTCAATTCTTTGCCCGTATCAGATTCATATCGCAGAAAGGGTTAATGGCCTTCTGATTACCCATCAAAAATATTTTGAACATATGATAAGAAATAAAACATTTTTTTCATTATTTCTTAACAGGCAGATGTGCTTTGAGTTCCAGGAATGCTTTCTTTTTATATAACCACTAGCAAATGTTTTGATAGAAGCACCCATAACCTCCTTTCACGTTAATCAGTACAATAAGCCCTGTTTTGCTGCTTAAAGGGGAACGGTCACTCCTGTGGCAATAACGCCACTAAATAAAACATTAACCTTATTTCCATGTGAGGTTCTTAAATTGCTTTTAAATGTATTTATTGTCATGCCTCACAAATACAAATTTGATAAATTGACATTGTCACTTTAGATAGCTAATCTGTCACTCAGGGCAAGCAAGCTGTCAGAACAGCATAGTGAACATTAGTGGTAACAGTTGATTGTTTAGAGGTGGAAATGTTTGTAAATTACTACTATGACTGGGAAAAGGGTGCTCACATGCCAGTTCACAATAGAATTCTTTAGAGTGAACTTGTAAATATACAATGCCTTAATAACAGAGCATTATTGGATGCTTTTGCTTGCAAATCACTTAAAACATACAGCACTATATCTATTACACAGTTACATAGCTGAAAAGAGACCTGTGTCCATCAAATTCAGCCTTTCTCACATATGTTTTTGCTGTTGATCCAAAAGAAGGCAAAAAACCCAGTCTGAAGCGCATCTAATTTTGCAACAAACTAGGAAAAGATTCCTTCTGGACCCCAAATTGGCATATCTCATTGGATCAAGCAGCTATTACCCCACAAATTAGAAATTATATCCATGTATGTTATGTTTTTGAAAGTATTTATAGTTCTTACTGTAAAAAGAAAAAAGTTTTATTTGCCTTAGATTAAGTCTTCCTTCTTCCAGCTTAAATGTGTGACCTCGTATCCAATTTATAGCCATTTTTATGAATAGATTTCCAGACAATGGTTTGTACTGGCCCTGAATATATTTGGATAATGTTATCATATCCCCTTTGAGGCGCCGTTTTTCCAAACTCAAGTGATTTTCATTTTTACCTTTCTTGTAACTAAAATGCTCCATTCCTTTTATCAATTTTGTAGCTCGTCTCTGCACTTTTTCTAGTGCCATGATAACCTTCTTTAGAACAGGCACCCAAAATTGCACTGCATATTCAAGGTGTGGTCTAACCAGCGATTTATAAAGAGGCATAATTATATTTTCATTCCTAAAATGTATGCCCCTATTTATACAACAAAATATATGACAAAACCTTACTAGCCTTAGCAATACTAAACAACAATACTTTTATAGCATTTCATTGTAACTGTGTATTGTTCTCTCTAATTCAGGAGCAATACTTTTATTTACTTTATACATTTGGATTATGTCAGCCAAATTACCCTTTTTATGAAGAATACACCATCTTAAATTATCTTTTTAATAAATTATATATTATCTATATAGAATGTATGGTTCGCTCCAATATGTACGGCAAGGGTTAAATGCCAATTTGTATATACCGCCAGATTAAAATCACAAATTGCGATCCTCGTGGAAACACAGAATTTCCCTAGTGGAACGCACGTGTCATACGACATGCGTTCCAGTGACACCAACCATGCGCCCAAATTGGCACAGCTGACACGACCCGACCCAGAAGTAGAGCGTATGAGGTGTGAATTGGAATGCGTAATGCGTCTCAAAGTGCAGACAGCCGGACCTGGAAGTACCTACACAAGTCGATTGAAAAGGACGCCAAGGAGCCCTTCCACATCACAGACCGACTGAGGAAGCCCCCACCACAGGGCGAAACGCATTCCGGATACATCAGCCATCAGGCAGGACTTTTATTGGATAAACTAAGACTCATTTGAACTCTTGTTCTATATTTATTTACATTTGATTTATTACACATAGTGCATTTTTGTTTATTTTACTTTACTGAATAAAACATCTTTTATGGAAACTTGCCTGTCCAGCTCACCCGTACTTCAGAAATCCTAAAAAAACACATAAGGAATACCTGTTAGAAGGATGGGAACATCCTACTAAGAGTCCCGCTGCACTGCCCATGAGAGCCATATGTTATTAATTGGCTCCTGGCTTGTAAGTACTTGGTCCCTACAATATCTGTGTATTATTTATACTGGCAATATTGCACTATATTATTTTGTCTCTTTTAGATACATCAGAACATGAAAAGATAGAATAAAATATTTACAAAAATGTGAGGGGTGTACTCACTTTTGTCAGATACTGTATATATATATATATATATATATATATATATATATATATATATATATATATAAAGATTTGAGAGCTGTTATCCATAGTTGGCAAGTCTTCTTTAAAGGAACACTATAGTCACCTAAATTACTTTAGCTAAATAAAGCAGTTTTAGTGTATAGATCATTCCCCTGCAATTTCACTGCTCAATTCACTGTCATTTAGGAGTTAAATCACTTTGTTTCTGTTTATGCAGCCCTAGCCACACCTCCCCTGGCTATGATTGACAGAGCCTGCATGGAAAAAAAACTGGTTTCACTTTCAAACAGATGTAATTTACCTTAAATAATTGTATCTCAATCTCTAAATTGAACTGTAATCACATACAGGAGGCTCTTGCAGGGTCTAGCAAGCTATTAACATAGCAGGGGATAAGAAAATCTTAATTAAACAGAACTTGCAATAAAGAAAGCCTAAATAGGGCTCTCTTTACAGGAAGTGTTTATGGAAGGCTGTGCAAGTCACATGCAGGGAGGTGTGACTAGGGTTCATAAACAAAGGGATTTAACTCCTAAATGGCAGAGGATTGAGCAGTGAGGCTGCAGGGGCATGTTATATACACCAAAACTGCTTCATTAAGCTAAAGTTGTTCAGGTGACTATAGTGTCCCTTTAATTTTCATTTTGAATAGTGTAGAAGCTAATCTTTTAAGTCCACAGTGTGTTATAGTTGAATAAAGAAAGACCCATTTTCTTGATTGGATTCATTCACATTAACAAGCACTCTTTAGAGAATATTCTGTGGGTAGCAAGTCCTACAGGTCATAGCAATTATAGTTTGTCAGTAACAAACAACAGCAAGGAAACCTTACACAGCACTAACAGTGAATATGGAACCACAATTGGCAGTTTCATGTACATTCCAAGATCACAATGAAAAATCATACACCATCCTGGGATTCAGAATGCCCTATTAAACCATTCTAAGGGCTTTTAATATCATGCGCTTAAAGCATTTGGATGTCTTCCTCAAGGCTACTGACAATCATATGTCAAACTGCAAACACTGCAAACAATGAACTTAATGCCATTTTCAGGTCTGAAAAATGTGTGTCTCCAGGAAATAATTATACAATGTGATTGCTGCTGAAATCTAACCACTAAAGATAATCGGAAATAAAACCCTAGAGACAACAGCTCTGGAAATACTGCACTTTATTCCTAAAAAAATACATGGAAAAAAATAGTATATATAAAATATTCACTTACACAACACGCAATATTAATATTGTTTAGTGTATTTCAGCTTGTATTAAGTCAAATGGGGTGATTTTTTTTTTTTTACACTCTAATAAACAGAATATGTCAAAAGAATCACAATATAACTTTAAAATGCAACACAATGCTTGAAGGGACACTCTTAGCACTATAACTACTACAACATAATGTGGTGGTTTGGGTGTAAATAGACAATCCCTTTTCAGCAAAAAGTTTGTAATTATCCCTCTTATAGACATATTATGGTCATGCAAGGATTGACATCTTCTACACGAAGATGCTGAATGATCGCCACAGAGATGCCTTGGAACAACGCATCTTTATGGAAAGATGATGATTAGTGCAGTGTGCTAATTGCTGCACATGCACAGTACAAAAAGCTTTTGATTGGCTGAGATAATCAGTAATGATGGCCTCATTCATGGTAATAAGTAAGACCAATGTGGTGTGGGATAGAAGGCGTGTGAAACTAACCTTATTTATGTCATTGTTACACATGCAAAGAAGAAGAGATATCAAATAATGGTAAAACCTTTCCTCTTCATTT